GAATGAGAGACAGAGAGCATGAGAGGGGGGAGGGTCAGAGGGAGAAGCAGACTCCCTGCTGAGCAGGGAGCCCGATGCGGGACTCGATCCTGGGATTCCAGGATCATGACCTGGGCCGAAGGCAGTCGCTTAACCAACTGAGCCACCCACGCGCCCTGTTCTGATATTTCTTAAGAATGATGGTTGCAGGGGCACGTGGGTGGCTCGGTTAACCGTCTGCTTTTGGCTCAAGTCATGATCCCAGGGTCCTGGGATTGAGTCCCATGTCGGGCTCCCTGCTCGGTGGGGAGTCTGCTTCTCCCTCTCCTCCCTGCTCTTCCTCTCTCTGTCTCTCTCTCAAATAAAATTATAAAATCTTTAAAAAAAAAAAAAAAGAATCATGGTTGCAAACCAAAAGCTATCTTAACAGGGTGGATAGAGCTGGTAATGAAAAACTATAGAGGACTTTTGTGGAAGCTTGTACTAGAAAGTAGAAAGTCCTTAGAGCCACAGCAGCTTCATTTTTCTCTGCAATGTATTGTGTGATCCTTTGCCTCATTTTTCTCTTTTTCTGCCAACTTGTTTTATTTCTGTGTACTCACCAGTGTACATGTGCTTAAAGTGGCTCTCCTACTATGATTTGACATTTATCTAATGTTTACATTGAGTTTTTACTGTATGCAAGGAATTTTCCTAGACAAACGCTACAAAGTAAACAAAACTAAAGCCCTGCCCACATGGAACTTTGTAAATGTTTACCAACTAAGACTGCTTCTAATATTGCACCATTTAGCAAGATGTTTAATAGCGTCTAGTGGATAGCCTGATTTATCAGGTTGAAAAGGTCCCCTCGTTAAGCGTCTGCCTTCGGCTTAGGTCATGATCCCAGGGTCCTGGGATGGAGCCCTGCGTTGGGCTCCCTGCTCAGCGGGAAGCCTGCTTCTCCCTCTCCCACTCCTGCTTGTGTTCCCGCTTTTGTGGTCTCTCTCTCTCAAATAAATTAATTATTTAATTAAATAACTAAAATAGGTAAAAATTTCTAGTCTTAGTTTGCTAAGAGTTTTTTATTATAAATATTTTTAAGTATCTGTTGGGATGTTTTAGTTTCTCTTTAAATTGTTTATTGTCATGAATTCTATTCATGGCTTTTCTAATGTTCAACCTTATCTTGCATTTCTGGGACCAACCCTACATGTTCATGATGTGTTTTTCTTTTAAAACACTGTTGGATTCAATTTGGTTATAAAATTGGCCCTTGAACAATACGGGGGTTAGGAGCACTGACCTTCTGCGCAATCAAAAATCCGTGCATAACTTTTGAGTCCCCCCAGACTGAACTAATAGCCTATTGTTGACTGGAAGTTTTACCATTAACATAAACCGTCGATTAACACACGTTTTGTATGTTGCATGTATTATATACTACATTCTTGCAATAAAGTAAGCTAGGGAAAAGAAAATAATGTTGAGAATTCATGAAGAAAATACAGTACAGTACTGTACTGTATCACAAAAAATCCATGTGTAAGTGGACCCACTCAGTTCAAACCCATGTTGTTCAATAGTCAGCTGTATTTTACAGTAGGTTAGTTTTGGTATCAAGGTTGTGCTGGCTTCATGAATTCTGGATTGCATTCCATCTTTTCTGTGCCCTTTTACAGGAAATTTCTGTAACTTAATGTTTGGCTGAACTTATAAAATTATTTGGGCCAGGTTAAAAATAGATTTCTAAACTACCATTTCAGTTTTATATGTTCTGGTATTAGCACTTCCGTGGCCAATTTTTGTGGTTTATGTTTTTCTAGAGAATTGTGTATTATCTGGGTGTTCCAGTTTTATTGGCATAAACATGTTAATAGTATTCTTTAAATTTTTGAAATTCATAGATTTTTAAATCACAATAGCATATGTTTACCCACCAGTTGGCACTTATTACACTATCTTTTATATGGCTGTCTCTTCCCGGCACTTAACTTCTGCCAAATAGTGGGCAGCAATCCTACCTAGGGCTTTTAGTATTATATACTGTGCATTTGCTGAATTTTGTTCCTAATCCACCCCATTCTCTCCCTCTACCCGCTTAGGTCTGAGTGTAAGATTTGCAGATATGCCTGGAAAATCAAGGAAGAAAAAGAAGAACATGAAGGAGCTGACTCCTCTTCAAGCCATGATGCTTCGAATGGCAGGTCAGGAAATCCCTGAGGAGGGACGGGAAGTAGAAGAATTTTCAGAGGATGACGACGACGATGATTCCGATGATTCTGAAGCGGAAAAGCAATCACAAAAACAGCATAAAGAGGAATCTCTTTCTGATGGCACATCTTCTGCTTCTTCACAGCAGCAGGCCCCCCCGCAGTCTGTCCCTCCTTCTCAGATCCAAGCACCTCCCATGCCAGGACCGCCTCCTCTTGGACCACCACCGGCTCCGCCCTTACGGCCCCCTGGACCACCTACGGGCCTTCCTCCTGGACCACCTCCGGG